ATACATCCGCATACACACATCCACTTCGAAAATGGCAAGTATCCTAAACATCTTAGGTCGAACGTAATACTGAGGAAAAATATATATATACATAAAAGAAAATTAGGTGGTCGTAGTGCCTACGAAGACTAATACTAGTTCCATTTGAAACTAAAAACAAACGAGTCAATTGTGCGATTTCAATTAACAAAGAAAAGAATAACATTGTAATCATATCGTTGGTTTCTCCCTCTCCATGGCCCCCATCCCGCCTCACCGATCATTTCACACTCCCCTCATATTGACCACGTCATTTCCACCCTCACCCCCATAATCGAAATCATCGGTTAAGGTCTCAAGATTGCGAGGATGGAGGATTCCCTCCACATCCTCTCCCTTCCCACCATCCGCAACGGCCCCTCCCTGTGGTGTCAGATGTACTTGTGCATCACCTTTGCCTGTGCATAACTCTGGTTGCAACTGACTGTCCGGCACGCTCAGGCCAACACCTGACTCTGACTGCATTTCGGATGTGCCTTCTAATGCGGCGGATGTCAGTAATAAACCCCCGTACGTGGCACCTGCATCTGACGACAATGCATTTGACACATTCATGCGTTTGGACGGTTCTGTCGTGTCGACGGAGATTTGTGGCATAGACGTCATGTGAACCTCTTGAGTCTTCACCACATTACTCCCGTCATCCTCCCTCTGCCCTGCCTGCGTGGGTACGGGGGGCGATGCCGACAAAGGCACGACATCTTGAGAGCTGCTCTCCTCCATGGTTCCGATAGTTTGATTGACCTTCCAGTTGATTGACCCACATGAGGGACTCGTTCGCAGGGCGTAAAATTTCCAACTGTATTCCAACTGCTGATTGTCTCGCAATACAGACTACAATTCTTTGGCCTTGTCTTTGACAGCGCCCTCGCTCTTCCCCGGATTCTCCTTTTGCACGCGGTACATAATCGCGAGTTCTATCGTTTTCAGCCAAGTGTCCTTTGACATCCGGCGAAACGTCTGCCATCCGCGTGTGTATTTGACCGCCATCTTCCACTCCCCATCTTGGATGCAGGGCTAAAAAATGCCCTCATGCCACACGATGTCATGGCCCCACTTGTCCTCACTAGTGCGGGCGTGTTTGCCCCCCAAGAAATAAATTGTGGTCGGATCAGCACAATAGCCGGGAGGAATTGGATCGCCTGGTGCGAGCTTCGACGCCTCGCCTGGCATATCAATGTCATCTTCATCATTGGGACCACATATTCCCRTGTTTGGCAAACCGGTGCCCTCCATGGGGGCCACCATCGAGCCAACACTGGGGGCAGCCACCTGTACGGGTCTTTCATGCGAGCAAACGGTCCCTTCATCGTGTGACCGCACCATGCCACCGCCCGGACCTTCAACACCCTTGCCATCGCCCAATTCGAGGTCGGACCCCGAAGAGTCTTCCGCGCTGTCGACGGGGTTAAAGCCATCACCCGATTTCGCGAGGTCAGCGTAGTCCTTGGACATCAGCTGGTCTTTATGAAGATCGAACTTCAGGATCTCACATCGAGCGACAAAAGTCTCAAAGGCGCGAGTAAAAGCACCGTGATAATGTTTCAGGGTCTCTGTCACCTTTGCTTTCCTGTAGATGTAATTCCCGTCAAGCCGTCCTTGCGGCGCATTGCGGAACAGGTATTCCCACACCTTCAGTCTCTTGCGTCCCAACTTGTGGAACATGTCCTTGTTGCTACGATGTTTGCAACGTGGCTTCTCGACATGACACGCGAATCTCTCATCCTTCACAAGTTTATCGACGAACTTTGTCAGATATGCAATGTCCTTGGCCGACTCGTCGCAGGCAAGGACATTATTACCTGCCAGTAATAACTCCCACACAAGACCTGCGTGTGCTCTACCCAACAAAAGCACACCTTCCGCCTCTCTGACAAATGACCCGCACAATGAACGTAACTTTCCAGGCTCTCGCTCCCAGATGGAATACACCGCACTATCATCGCCCTCTATCCCACCGTGTTTACCTTGACACTTCCCGAACTTCTCCTCCACAACGTGCTCGGTTGCGAGGTCGTAGCCATATTGCCGTATCGTGCGAGGTCCCGCTGACAGTTACTTTTTTCAGATCCCCTCCATCGGCGTGCAGGACAATGACTATCATATCTTGACTCGTCGTAGCCATATTCCCGTATCGTGTGATGTCGTTCGGTGACCTGTCCACCCGTTTCCAGGTACCGGGGATGACTTCGACGTCCTCCCAGCGGAACAAGTGACGCAGAACATCGCTTTGCACCTTCTGCGGCGCAAAGAAGAAAAAGACCCAAATTTGGCCACAACACTTGGTCATCAATGTGTGCAAGGCATCAAATTCGTGAGAGGTCCACGCCGTGCTGAAGTTCGAGGATGGGATGTCCACGATGGCGGCCCTGCATGTCATTTTTTGCGCTGCAGCGACGATGTCGTCTGGCGCTGCCAACACTTCCTTCGATGGCATGCACACAGGTAGCAACGTCGTTTGTTTGCCAATCTTGTCCCACACAATATGACGCGCGCTGGAGGCGATCCGTTTCACCTCGGCGCGAAGCAAATCGAGCTTATCGATTGCAGTGTATATGAAGACCTTAAGGTGAAACGGAGCCTCCTTATACATTGCCGCTGTAGGCCCCAAGCCCGCGCCTTGCCTTGCCTCCTCCACTCCTCCAAGTCGTCGAGGGACCATCTTCACCTTATTGACATGTAACTTGTCCCGTTCCTTTTCCCATTCAGCAGCGCACAGACCGTTTGGCCCATACCTGTCTTCAAGGTCCTTGTACGACATGAAGAACGCGTCGTTCCATTCGTCGTCCGCCCTTCCCTCGGCGCGGAACAGAACATAATTGAACATACGCACTATGTACCGCTCCTTTCGCATGATGTCGAGGAGGCACTCTGTGTTCACTCTTGGAGGCAAGACCTTGACGTTCGTTGCAACCACCTTCCCCTTCATGAGCAGGAGCAATGCAACTTCCCTCTCACGACATGTAAAATCCCCAAAATTTTTGAAGTAGGAAGGACAAAGGTCCTTCCACGACACGGTGGAGCCTTTGGGACCATCTATTGCATATATTCAATGATACAATGTTCTTTGTCCCTTGGTCTCGTCGGTGTACGGGCCTGGCAGGCGGCCTTCCATTCTCCCGGGCATGTCAAGCGGAAATTTGTCATCGCCAACTGGCAGTTTTCCTTCGTTGAACATCTCGAACAACCTCTCGACCAGCGGCCACACTGCGACACTGGATGTGGCGAGGTTCATGTAGCCCCGGAGTTTATTACTCCAATCCTTACTGTACTCATTCTTGAGAGCTTGCTTTATAAACGCCTTGTCGCATGCCTTCCCCATGCAGACCCTCAAGAAGTTCTGCCACGTCTTCTGATGTGCAACGGCCACCTCATCCTTCTCGCTGACCTTGGCTTTCGGGGCCTCGATTCTATTGTTGTCTATCCACCATTGCCTGATGTCACGGACAGCGTCCTCGAATGACAACATCATGGAGCGATTTTCGCGTGTGTTGTCGAAGCAGGAGACATTGAAATACCCTCGTGTTTGATCATCTCCGAAATAGACGACCCGCACCTTAGAGTACGCGTTGAGGCCATA